CTCTCTTCCCCTTGCTCCCACAGCCAATCCACTGTCAAGTCTGATCTCTCCAAAACATTTCCTGGATCTAACATGTGGTTCCACCTCCACCGTTCCCAAGCCAGCAGTATCATCCCTTGCTTTGACTACTGAAATAGGCTGACAATTGTTCTCCCCACTTCTACCTTTGCCCATCTATAATTTAGAATTTATTCTTTATTTGGCAGTCAATTGGATCTCTTAAAAATTTTTAAACAGATTATATACTCCCCCACTTGCAACTTTCCCATGGCTTCCCATTGCTTTAAAATAAAATCCAAATTCCTTCCCATGGCCTACAGTCTCTACATACCTGCACTTCCCCTGCCTATTTCTCTGTCCCCATTTCATTACATTCTCTCTCTGTCCTTCTAAGCTCCAGACCACCCCCTTCCCTTTTTCTGCTTCTCAAACTTACCAAACTTCTTCCTGCCATACAGATTTGCACCAGTGGTTCCCTCTGCCCGAAGTGCTCTACTTCCAGATCTTTGAAAGGCTGGATCTTTTTTTGTTATTTAGGTCTCATCCTAAACGTCCCCTCCTCAGTAATCATTTTCCTGGCCACTCAACCTAAAGTCATCCTCCATACTCTCATCACCTCCTATCACATCGTCTGCTTTCTTTTCATCATTTTTTATAGCATTTATAACTTTTTGATATCTTCTTACTTGTTCATTTGTTTCTAGTCATTAATTGTTCCCTCTTTTTTGAGATAAAATGCACATAAAATAAGATGAACCATTTCAAAATGAACAATTCAGTGGATTTAGCACATTCACAATGTACTAAAACCACACTTCTATCTAGTTCCAAAATATTTTCATCATCCCAAAAGGAAACTCTATAGCCATTAAGCCACTGCTCCCTAATCCTCCCTTCCCCTTTACTCCTGGTAACCACCAACCTTCATTCTGTTTCTATGTATTTACCTATTCCGGGCATTTTGTATAAATGGAATCATATAATATATGACCTTTTGTGTCTGGCTTCCTTCACATAGCATAATATTATCCAGATTCATCCACATTATAGCATATATCAGTACTTTACTCCTTTTTGTGACTGAATAGTATCACACTGTGTATACATACCACTCTTTGTTTATCCATTCACCCATTGATGGAGTTCTCATTTTTCACCAGTCTATAGACTTGTCTGTCTCATCAAAGATGTGTTTAGAACAGAACCTGCCATACAGTGAGTACTTAATACATGTTTATTTTATCAGTGACTGAGTGAATTATGAACTCTAGTATTTAAGGGACAGGTATAGGAGGGAGAAACTTGGAAGCAGACTGGGAAAGAGGAACCAGAAAGGCAGTAGGGGAATCAGTGGAGAACAGCATCTTAGAAGTCAGAGAACATGAGTATCAAGAGGAAAGGATTAAGGAAGATGAGTTCTTTAAACTGTGTATTTAATTAACAACTAGGATGTCACTGGTGGTCTGAGTAGGAACAGTATTGATGTAGAAGTAAAAATGCAGCAGTGGATGGAAATCACTGGACCCAGAACGGTGGGTTGGGCTATGTCTTTCAGCAAATTCTAGGACCACCATCACATCTTAAGTTCTCTGTGCCCAGACCTACAACAGTAGAGAATTTTCTTTCCTGGTTGACTCTGTAGTTATGAACTCCTCAAAGGAATAATGTAGAATTTTAGAGGTGGAAAGAAACCCCGTGTTAAGCTATACAATAGATACTCTTGAATGCTTTTTGTGCCTGCTAGTGCCAGGCGCTGTTTTAGGTGTTGGGGTTAAAACAGTAAACAAAAATAGAAAAAATCCTACTTTAATGGAGCTTAAGTTCTAGAAGAGGGAGACAAACAAACAAAATATCTTATGGTAAAGTGCTATGGAAAAACAAAAAATAGGATGAGGCGACAGGGAGTCTACAAGGCAGGTGCTACTGTAGGGTAGCTGTGCAGGTGTTTCTGATGAGGTGATATTTGAGCAGAGACAAATCATCCTAAAATCCTAAAAACATCTGATATTAGAACAATGAAGGATTTAGCAATTTATCCCTTTTTTTTTTTTCTCTTGCTGGACTGGAGTATGTGCTTACTTTGGAGTACTTAAAGATCAAGGTTTTGTTGATCAAAATTTGCTAAGTCCCCTTAGACGTTCCCTTAGCTTAAATGAGGAAATTTATTTACTTTATTGTTATGGAATTTTATTCTGTTCAAATAATTTTGGCATTTTATGTTGAGATGAAACAAAAGAGCATTTCAGGGCTTTAGAGATCTCTAAAACATCCAAAGTTAATGAATTTAAGTCTTCTTCCACAATAGCTTAAATCTTACTACCAGTCTCTCCCAAAGAAGGTGATAGATTCCAGAAAAGCAGAAAAGTACTCATGGGATACCTAACCAGTTTAAACATTTTCTGGGTTTTTTTTTTTTTTGTTATTGTTTGTTTTTACAATTTGTATCTATTAGTGGTATATCATGGAGAGGCACTGAAAATTACATAATACACTTTGAATATAAGCAAAGGTAACTGCTAAGAGTACTACTAGTTTCTGAGGTGAAAAACCTACATATCTTTTAAAAATCTGTGATTATGTTCAGTAAATCAAATCACAAGGTAGAAAATTTCAGCAAAGAACTGGAAACTAAAAAGAAAAATGAAATGAAAATCCAAGAACAGAAAAATAATAAAACTGAAATTAACCTACATGAGGCCACTTCTTCAAGGCTGGGAGAAGTGGCTCTTTATCTTACGCAGAGAAATCAACACAGAGAGTAAAGGGAAACGAAGAACAGAGGAATATGAAATTTAAAACCCTTCCCACCTGTTTTATGAGGTCGGCAAAATATGATACCAATGCTTGACAAAGACAACAAAGAAACATTACAGACTAATTTTTCTCATGAACATAAAGCAAAAATTCTAAACCAATGTGAACAGACCAAAGCCAGTAATCAAGTGTGGTTTATTCTATGAATTCAAAGTTGGGTTAACAATCTAACGTCAAGAAAAAAACACCACATTAACAGAGCAAAGGAGAAATTATATGCTCATTTCAATAGCAGTGGAAAAAGCATTTGATAAATTCAATATCAACTCGTGCAAACAAATTTAGCAACCTAGGAATAAAAGGAAGCTTCTTAATGTTTTAAAAGGAATCTACAAAATATATATAGCAAATATTATGTACAATGATGACATACTGAATGCTTTCCCTTTGCAATTGAAAATAAGAGAAAGATGCTGGCAATACCACTTTTACTACTGAACATTTACTAGAGGTCCCAGTGTACAATAAGGCAAGAAGAAGAAAAGAAAGGTATAAAGATTTGAAAGTAGGAAGTCTAACTATCATTATTTTGATTCTGAATATAGAAAATCCAAAGAATCTACAGAACTGGAAAACATGTATAAATTCAATTGAATATTTCCATGGGAAAAGGGACTGAGGTCATACCTTGCACTATATGCAAAAAATTAATTCCAGGTGTATACTTAAGTAAAAAATAAAGAGTCAAAGCTTCTGGAAGATCACATAGGATAATATCTTTTATAACTTTGGGACAGGCAAAAGCTTTAAATAGGGCACCAAAAATATGAAGCATAAAGGAAAAGATTCATAAGTACGAATTATTAAAATTAGGAACTTCTGGTTATCAAAACATTCCATTAAGGGAAGAGGCAAGCAAGTGTGGGAGAAGATACTTGCAATACATATAATCAACAAAGGGCTTATATCTAGAATATACCAAGAACTCCTATAAATCAAGAAGAATAAAGAGAATCCAATAGAAAATTAGGCAAGAAAATCAAACAGACACTTTACAAAGGAGGATATCAAAATAGCCAATAAATTTATGAAAAAGTGCTCACCTCATTAGTCACCAGGAAACAAGAATTAAAATCACAATAAGATGTTGCTACACACTGACCATAAAAGCTAAACTTAAGACCAATAACACCAACTGTTAGAATATAGAAAAGGAGAATACTCACACACTACTTGTAGGGATATGAACTGACTCAAAGAGTTAGTTAGGAAAACAGCTTGACAGTACCTGCTAAAGCTGACCTTATGCATATTCTATAACCTAGCAATTCCACTCTTAGATATAGATCCAATGGAAATATGTACACATGTGCACCAAAGGACACTTGCAAGAATGTTTTTAGCAACAGTATTTGTAATTGCCCAAAACAGCAATAATTCAAATATCTGTCAATAGTAGAATGGATAAATTGTATCAGTATCATTATGTAACAGTATCATTATATATAGTATTTATATACAATGTAATACTAGAGAAACAAAAAGGGATAAACTACAGCCAACAATATGGATGATGACTCTCATCAAACAATGCTGAAACAATGTTGAGCAAGGGAAGCTATACAAAAGAACACATATAGTGTAATACCATTTATATAAAATTTACAAATGGCCACAACTAATTTACTATGTTAAAGGTCAAGATAGTGGTTATCTTGGGAGCGAATCAGAGTGACTGGAAGAGCACAGAAGGGAGCCTCTGGAGTACAACTAATGCTCTTTTTATTACTTGGGTGGTAGTTACACTGCTGTGTTCCCTTTTCAATAATTCATCAAGCTGTCCAATTCTGACTTGCACATGTTTCTGTATGTATGTCAGAGTCAATAAAAGAGTTTTTTGTTTTTTTTTTTTATAAAAAAACAGGCACAAAAAATCACTTGTAGCTCTTTAAAATATACAGATCTTTGAGGGGTCTTAGAATGTGCAGAGGTGACTTACATTTTTTTAAAAAAAGAGTCACCAGTAATTCTGGCCTGTTCTAGAAGTGAAATACTTCATGAAACATTATGGATCCTTTCCTTCTATAGGTAGTCATGGCCAGATGATTCACAAGACCCATCTTGGAGTCCTATTCAAGGAGCAATGTTTTTTTTTTAACCACTATGTACACATCAGTAGATCAGTATCAGTGTAAGAGTAATCACCCTATAAAGGAAAAAGCAATAACCAACAATCAGCAACTCACCATTGGGAATACTTCATCATCACTAACCAAAGGACTTGTCATTTCTTTGGTTTGAAATGGCAAAGGTGGCAACAAAGGTGTTGCACTTTTGTTTGGCTCACGATCGTGGCTAAATCTAAAAGAGAAGGACTGGTTGTCATTATTGCTACCAAGGACACCTGCTTATTTATGGGGCTAAGGATTTAAATTTCTCTAACTGTGAGGAAAACACAACAGAACGTTTGTGCTTGTTGTCTGGGTATTTCTTGGAAAATAATTTTGCTGATAATTTCTATTCCACTTAAAAGACTTAGAACAATTAATAATGAAGCAGAAAACTTTTATAATTGTTAAAAAATATTCTGCCATTCTTATTGCCTACGTTGCTTCCCTTTCTGTGTTTTACTGTTTTATCTCTTGGCCATTTAATTAAATAATGTTAAACCAGTTTGAGAAAAATTTCAAAACAGTTAACACGGCTGCCCTTGACAGTTCTAAATAGGTACTCTTTTTTTTTTATTCTCTATTTCACTTAACCTCATTGGCTTTCTTAGCAGAGTTATTCTTTTTTTTTTTTTTTTTTTTTTTAGTATGTCTCTGTATAATAATAATTCTAATTTCTAAGGAGCTTAATAATTTATAGCATGTTTTCATTTTTTTTTTTTTTTTTGATGCTAGTATGTCTCTGTATAATAATAATTCTAATTTCTAAGGAGCTTAATAATTTATAGCATGTTTTCAATTTACATCATCTCCTGAACTCCTCCACCCTTAGTTGTATGACCTTGAGCAGGTGACCATATCTTTCTGTGACTTTAATTTTTTCATTTATAAAAAAAGGTTGTCATGAGAATTGAACTCCACAATTTGATGAAAGGCACAGAATAGAATTTGCCGTTTGTGCTAAGATATGGGGTAGAATATGAGACTGAACAAAATACCAGTGAGATTTTAAATTTTGGTATCTGACTAAACAAATGAATAATAAAACAAAGAAACCAACTTACCCTAAAATTTGACACAAAAAGGTCCTAACAGTAGGGGTTGTTTGGAGCTAGATAAATATTTTTTCTGAACCTTAATTCATGAAAATGGGGTTTAAATTTAATCAAAATCATCAAAGACCATGAAAACATAAAAACCCCTTGAATTTAAAATTATTTATTTTTATTAATAATTCAAATTCTCCACAGGTATTGATTAACCATTTTCAAAGTCTTCATATTTTAACTTCACACAGTTCAAAAAAGTTACATTCTTTTCCTCTGTTCTTATCCAAAGACTATCTATATAAACTTGTTTTTTATTATGCAAACATTTTCAACGCTATGCATACAAATAGCAATGAAAGGTAAGTGAGGCATCTGTAAATTGGTACATAAAAACAAACACAACATGCTTTACATTTTTACTTATCTTGAAACAGATCTTTTTTTAAAATCCATTCTTCCAAACCATAATTACCATGGAAATAGAACAGCAAATTAAACTGAAATAACATGGTTTATGATGTGCACAATAAAATGAAACATCTCACAATTCAAATAGAATTACAATTGCCTAGTACATCTGCATAGAATCTTCAGCTGAACCTTTTGAGTGAGGCTACCATCTATACTTCAAAGCACAGTGGGGAAAAAATAAGATAATTATAGAAGTGGTTCAAGAAATATACGTCTCTCTATAATCTCAATTATACAGAGAATTCAGGGAAAGTATTATTTGTCTTAAATTATCTAAATAATTATCCATTTGGCTTTGGATGTATAGATACAATTTTACGGTCTTAACTACTAAAATTTATGGATGAACATTCTCTTTATTGTAAGATCAATAAAATGTAGAAATTGAAAGGAAAGACTACATTATGAAGTAAAGTACTTTTGCTTTAAATCATCTTTATATCTAAGTTGTTCTTCTGGAATACAGCTATTCAAATACTTCATAAAACCACCTTGCAAAAACATGCTAAGAATATCAATTTAAAAGCTATCTTAAAAATTATTTCAGAAGGCTTTTAATACACTCTCACAAGCCGGTCTGTTCAATTAGCTTTTCCACAGGCCCCATTCTAAGGCCTCTGCCTACTTTGTCAGGAGTGCAGGACCTGGCTGCTTTGTTGGGGAGCAGAACTCTACCCAACTTGAGTCAGCTTGAGACCTCAGTCAACTCTGCACAGTTTACAGAGCTGTCCGACTGTACATCCAATCCTGGACCCCCATTAATTTTATAACCCTCCCTGGGTTGTCACATAATGTCCTCAGCATGGAACAGGATCCCTGCACAAACTATGCTAATTTACCTGCTTCCAGCCTCGCCTTCTAACACTCCACATAACGCTCCCTTATTCTATGAACTACTCATTATTTCCTGGCCTAGAACTCTTTCGCCTGCTGTGTTTTTCTCCTGATTAAGCAACACCATGGTGCCAAAACTTACTCAACTTACTTTTTTGCTTCCAACCAGCTATTCATTCCTTGACAAGGGATCCTGTAGAGTGATTAAGACAAACCTGACTTTGTGGTTTTTTAGTATTAGGAACTTTTAATTTATTGACTAAATTTGCTTGTGATTACCAAAATCTTTCCGGTACAGGATATAATTTTTAAAGCCGTATATTCAGTTTTAAGTATGAATCGTATATAGAGATAAAACTCCATTTATTATAAAACTGATTTGCCATTAAAATTAGTTGTATATTAATAGCTCTGGATACCACTACTCTAAGTGAGAATGTAAATGATCCTTAAACTTCAAAACTCTAACGTTAAAAAACTTTTAAAACATTTAATACATCCTCACCAAATTCAATTTCATCTCATTCATTAATTTCTTTTAAAGTGCTGAATAGCTTTCTTATTGGAAAGTAAATCCTCTGGAATATCCTAAAGTGCTTCACATTTTAAGTGGATGAGCATGAAAATTTTCTTATCACTTCTAACAGGAGTGAAAAACAACAACAAAAACGGAGTCACCTCCAAGTGCATAAAAGATTATTTTAATAATACAGTATACAAATCTTCCTCAGGTAAAAGCAAGAAGTGGCTAAAAATTAGACTACAGACTTAAAAATTTTGTGGAACGTTATCTTTATATACCTTTACCTAAAAGCTTTTTCCTTTCTAAAATAGCTTAATATGACCTTATTGCATTAACCATTGATATGTAAATATGACTATGTATTTTAAAAATTTTTTTAAAGTTATTTTCTGCCTAATCAATAAATACAGCTTTCACTATTTGACTTCACTGAGCCGTGCTGTGAGGGAAGGGAAGCACATTGCCTTTTTCACTTGCTAAAATTAATAGATGTGTGCTTTACAGTTCTCCACTGGTGAGTTCACAGTGTCCTTGCCTCTCAACAACTCTTTCC